TTCTAACTCACAGCATGACAGGAGAATCTGTCTTTGGTGAATGAGTAGGCAAGGAACCCATAGTAGGAAATCAGGGGCACAGGACTTTATCAAGACAATGGGCCTGGGACAATAGGCCTCACACCAGCTTTACTCCATTGACTTCAGTTTAATTACATCGGTGTGAGAGCAGGATCAGGCACTATCGATTTTAAGGGACCAGTTCATCCATCCTCCTGAGCTGAGCTTGAAGCAGAGATTGCATCTTCTGTGTCCAAAATGCCCCTGGCAAGTCCCAGGACACCAGTGCAGTTTACAAAGAGCAGCCTGCACCTTAACTGGCACCCCCCACCTGCAAAGGCCTCTGTGGGCCCATTTCCACCCCTGGGAATAAATTGAGATATAAGAACATTCTAGCATAGGTGGGTGGTGAAAATATTCTTTGGGGTGCCGGGGCTGAGCCTGCCCTCCACTCACCCCGCACTGGTAGCTCCTGTCTGGCTGGGCTGGGCCCAGCTCCCCCTCCAGACCGTTGGCTCTCAACACTTGCAGATTCAGAGGAACCTGCCAGGACCACCTGACATGTGCCCCTACGTGCAGGCAGGGCCATATCCCTGCGATGCCATGTCCCGTCCCCTCTCCTGGTACCACTGAACACAGGGTCTCAGGAGCTCCACCATCCCTCGGGACTCCCCTTCCTCCCCTGGGACACCCCTTTCCATCCTTCATCTCAGAATCCCTCCTTCCCTCAGGACTCCACTTCCCCTGGGACTGACTCCCCCATCACCTCAGAATCACCCCATCCCTTCCCCAGGAACTCTCCTTCTCCCCCAATCCTTTCACAATCTTCTCCCCTTCCTCCAGTCGCCTCCAAATCTCCCCCCTCCTTCCAGGACTCCCTTCCCCCATCACCTCAGGATCTCCCCCCTCCCCTCAGGACTCTCCTTTTCTCCTCAGGATCTCCCCACTCCCTGGACTCTTGCCCCCATCCCAGTGAACCTTTCTGGGAAGCGCCACTCAGGAGCTAGGAGCCAGCACCATCTGCCAGGAATTAAGTTTGCAGGTAGGGCCTTCTTCCCATGAAGGCCTGTCTGCCCCACCGCCCTCCAGGGCCCTGGCACCACTGGATGCGGGGCTTTACCTGCTGACCTGGGTATGTGCAAAGGTGGCAGCGTGACTCAGAAAAATAGAGTGGGGGAGACTGAGCCCCCTTTAACCACTCGCCGCCTATGCATCCTGGTCATAGCCCCTCCTCCTCCCAACACATCCCTGATATGCCTTTTGCCTCATGGGCTGTGGCAAATGAGATGTTGAGATAGCCATGCCAGCTCTGTGCTTGCCAGGAGCCCCCTAAGTCCAGGAAGTCATTAGGGTGGCTTTGCAGCCCCTTCATAACAGACAGGGCCGGCTCTAGGATTTTTGCCGCCCCAAGCAGAAACAATTTTGGCCGCCCCCCCTCCCCCGTTTTTCTTACCCCACCCCTGGCCCCGCCTCAGCTCCGCCCCTTCCCCAAATCCCCAGCCTTGCCTCCTCCCCCCAGGCTCTCAAGCCTAGGAGGGAGGGGGAGAATTGGCGCGTGCGCCGCGGCCACTCGGAGTCTCCCCCTCCCTCCCAGGCTCTCAAACCTGGGAGGGAGGGTGAGCAGCGGTGCGCGAATCAGCTGTTTCGCGCGCCGTGGCGCGCAAGTGGCAGCAGCGGAGGTGAGCTAGGGCGGCCGGGGCACATTTTTAGGGGCGGCATTCTGGCGCCGGCCATGCCGCCCCTAAAAATGTGCCGCCCCAAGCACCAGCTTGTTTTGCTGGTGCCTAGAGCCAGCCCTGATAACAGAGAAACATCACACTACTGAAGTTGATCTTAAGGTCACATTTAGATTTTTTCAAGGTATTTCTCCACTCAGCGTTGTAAGTACTGTAAGGAGCTGATACTTAAAGGTACTTACACATTTCTCTGCTCAGCATTGCAATGTCTAGACCTGTTCCTGCCACCTCATGGAATCCTCAGCCCAGATTTAGGTGCCACATGGGGAGAGAGAGGCACCTGAGGAAGGGATCCTCAAAAACCAGCTAGCTGAGTAGGGTGCCAACTAAGCTAACTGGGAGTGAAATGAAGAGGCAAGGGGAGGGGCTTAGGTCCAGATCCTCAAAGGTATTTAGGTGCCTAACTCCCATTGATCTGGATCTTTTCCAGCTAGCTGAGAGGTAGGCACCTCCCTCCTAATCAATAAGCCTGGTGTTTAGGTTACTGGGAGAAGGGATTTGAATCCAGGTCTGCCATATTGCAGGGAAGACTGGGCTGGGATGTTCAACTTTGTTTGTTAGAGCTTTTCCACTTCACATAAATAGCTAAATATTTCTTGGAAGAGGGCTTGAACCTAGGTCTCCTACAGCTTAAGTCAGTGCCCTAACCACAGGGCTACAGCATCAGGCCAGCTCTCATTTTCTCTGGCCCAACAAATGTTTAATTATTTATATAAAGTAGACCCGCTTCAACAGGAGAGGTCAAGAGACATCTATCCTAGAACAGCCTTGCATTTATGGTACTCAGCTGAAATGTAGCAAACATGGGTTCAAGTCCCTACTCCAAATCACACAACCAAAGGAGTTAAACCTGAGTCTCTCACATGAGTGCCCTAACCCCCAGAAGAAGAGAGTACATACTGAAAAGATTGCTATCTAGTAGGGCTGTCAATTAATCGCAGTTAAATCAAGCGATTAACTCAACAAAAATTTACTACATTAAAAAAATTAATTGTGATTAATTGCAGTTTTATAATAAATCTTTTTGGATGTTTTTCTACATTTGCAAATATATTTATTTGAATTACACCACAGAATACAAAGTGCACAGTGCTCACATTATATTATTTTTATTACAAATATTTGCACTGTAAAAAGATAAAAGAAATAGTATTTTTCAATTCACCTCATACAAGTACTGTAGTGCAATCTCTTTATAGTGAAAGTGCAACTTACAAATGTAGAATTTTTTTCACGTAACTGCACTCAAAAACAATATAAAACTTTCAAGCCTACAAGTCCATTCAGTCCTACTTCTTGTTCAGCCAACCGCTAAGAAAACAAGTTTGTTTACATTTACAGGAGATAATGCTGCACGCTTATTTACAATGTCACCTGAAGTGAGAACAGGCATTCTCATGGCACAGGTGTAGCCAACATTGCAAGGTATTTACGTGCGAGATAAGCTAAACATTCGTATGCCCCTTCATGCTTCGACTTGTAGATTGCACTTGTTTATCTTTTTTACAGTGCAAATATTTGTAATCAAAAATAATAATATAAAGTGAGCACTGTACCCTTTATATTCTGCATTGTAATTGAAATCAATATATTTGAAATGTAGAAAATATCCAAAAATATTTATAATAAATTTAAATTAGTATTCTATTAACAGTGTGATTAAAACTGCAATTAATCACGATAAAAAATTTTGATTGTTTGACAGCCCTACTATCTAGCTTTCTCTCAATGCTTTAAGCATGCTCAGAGCATGCTTAAAGAATCAGTCCCTGCTGACAAGATAGGCATTCCCCCCAGGGCTGGCGTTGGACTCGCTGGGGCCCAAGGCAGAAACTAAGGAGTGGGTCCCCACCCTGCCGAAGCCGGAGCCTCACCGTCTGGGGCTGAAGCCTGAGCCCAAGCCCCTCTCCCCCACTCGTAACTTAGTTTTGTGGGGGCCCCCTCTGGTGTGGGGCCCTGGGCAATTGCCCTGCTTTCTATGTCATAATGCCAGCCCTGATTCCCCTATCCACTTTGAGAATCCTACTTGGGGCCTCTTCTTCAGTAAGGGCTCACTAGCTGTGTGGAGGCATCAATGCTTAGGTGGCTTTGCGAATGCTGACAAGCAAAAAATTAAGGTGCCTACAGGCAGTGGCAGGCACAGGCACAGGTTTTTACCCACAAAAGCTTATGCCCAAATAAATCTGTTAGTCTTTAAGGTGCCACCAGACTCCTTGTTGTTTTTGTAGATACAGACTAACACGGCTACCCCCTGATACCAGAAAGGCAGTTACCTAAATACCTGTGTGGATCTGACCATAAGTGACTTACATGGCTAAGTCACACTTTGAAAAGTGACTTAGGTACGTAGGAGCCTAAATCTTACTGAAAGTCAATGGGATTGTCACTTAGGCATTGCTCCACTCCGCCTAAGCATCTTTAAATATCTTGGCCTAAGTGTGTTGGCTCCCAATCAGTGTTTGAGTTAGAGTGGTGCATTCAATAATATTAACATTTAAATGACACCACCAAAGCTTGGAAGTTCATTAAGGGGGTCTCTTAGATAGGGCTTGAAAGCTCTTACACACACACACACACACACACACACACACACACCCTAAGGGGTATTGAAGTCTGTAGAATTATACCAGACTTATTCTAGTGTGAGATCAGCATTTGGCTCAATTGATTCTATTCCCTAGGCATTTAATATGTAATACTCACATTTAACCAACTTTGGCCCTTTAATTGAGAAAAATGTAAAGTTTTACATAAAGCCTGCATTTTGTTATTTTGCCTATCATGAAATAAGTTATCAGACATTTTAAAATCTGATGCATGATCTCGGGAACTGAGATGAGTTTGAAACTTAATAAATTAATCTTCTTAAACCCACAAAGAGATTTTAGACAGCTAGATTTCAGTTCAGGTTTTATTTGTATACAAAAATATATTAAAAGCATTAAAGTTTCCAACTATATAAAATTACAAATATATTTTCATAAAAGCAATTTTAAATTAAAATTTAAGCTATATTTTTAAGAAAACAAATATAGTATCAGCACATTTAAGTTATCTGATCCTGCCTGCTGCAAAGTAACAAAACTGATGTCATCAGTTAAATGCTTAGAGAAGGTGACTATTGTTATGTTCAGAAGATGAATATGCTGGATAGCAAAGTTGACAGTTGTCAGACATGGCAGCGGCTTTCAGTGATCCATATCATTAGGTCTTCATTGCATCTTTCAAGGAATTATCTGTAGACAGGGGTGATGCCAAAAATCTCTTTGCTTCACATACCTGTAAACATGAAAGATGAGAGATCCCAAATGTTACACTTAACAAGATTACGTTTCACTGACAAAATGTCATATTTGATGTCCCATTTCTTAAACTGTCTGCTGTTTAACTGACGTGAAAGAGGGGAAAGCCAAAAAATATATATAGAAGCCAAAAAGTTATAAAGATTGTAAAGTTGTAAAGGTTTAAGAAAATCACTGTTCTAATGTATCCAAAGGCATCTTAGGTATCCAAAGGCATCTGCACAAGTAAGTGTAGGTTGTTGCATAACCCCAACTATATAGTAGAACTCAAAATATGTGATAGTAATATAAGACTGAAGTTGGCCTTTTTCACTGCATTTAATCTCACTGGTAAAGAATGAATAGCTCTAGAATGGATCCATTGCAAAAGATAGTAAATAAGAAAATACTTAAAATAAGTTAAACTAGGCCAGAATTAAGATACAAGTGAGAAGACAGCAAGAGCTAAACACAAATAAGCCAGATCATAACACAAGTTTACGATCATAAAAGAAGTTGTCTTGAGTTAAACTCAAGGCAAATCAACTAAGGCTTAAAAAATACAAAGAAAGGGAAACAAAGGATTTAAAAACAACAAACAAACAATTTGTGTTACACCTTTCATTCTTTGTCTGTACTGCCTATTTAGGCCCCAGGGGACCCAACACTCTGTTTGCATGCAAAGGAATACAAGACCATGGCCCAAATGAACAGCACAGGCAAACTGTGAGAAGGGGAATAGATGTAACACAATATTTAAAAAGAGAAGTGTTTTTCCATAGCCCGATGAAGAGCCAAAGAATAGTGTAACTGAATAATAGATTGTCAGGTAGTGACAAATTTGGTCTGTATTTAATGGAGACTAGATCAACTGATTTTTTTTTTTTTTTAATTTAAAGTATAAGGTATGGACTTCCTTTCCATAATCATTGTGTAAAGACAATGATAGCAGTCTAATATTTACATTTATACCAGTCATTCATAGTTACTGGTCAGTTATTTAGACTTACAGGACTATGAAACACAAGCCTGTTTTTCACTGTGTTGAATCAGTTTTTGAAGAACTCTTGCTTGCATAATAGGTGCACTATCAAAGCAACTTCATGATATATGGTTTGTTTTATGTCCCAAAAATGCTATATGTAAGAAAGTGCTAGTCAAAATCAAGTTGAATTTGGCTGCTAAAAAGTGGGAATATATACAAGGAGGGAGGGGAGTAGATAAATGAGAGCATCTACTAGCAGGAAAAGGAGACTAAGGAGATCTAAAAGTACAAATACATGGACAAAGGCAGATCTGTCCCCATGTTCTACCCCATTACTTCTCCCACAACAAAAGACACAAAAAGAACTCTAATATTTTAAAGGAAATTATGTAAAAATACTGTTCCCACCCCCCAACCCCATCTCCACTGATATTTTGTATTGTAAATACTTTGACTTCCATCATTTTTAAGGTACCACACAAAGTGAATCTACTTACTTGCTAATGTCCTGTCAAGATCAGCAATAAAGTCTTCTAGTTCTTTTGTGTCTCCAAGCTTTGCTGCAAAATAAGAGTACGGTCAGCACTGTTTATAAGTGAAAAATGTAAGTCTCTGCCACTGAGGCAAATAAAGGCCATTAGAAACCACTTGAATTTTGAAGGACAACTCCCAACATTATTCCCAGTAGTATCTAATCTCTTCTTGATTATCTTCAGAGAGGATTCCTTGACCTATCTTCCTTTAATAGTCCTACTGCAATGTCCAAATGCTTCTGAGAAAAGACTGTCCTGATATCTGGCCTAAAATTTTGATTCCTTTATTTTAGGGAATTATTCACATAATGACATTAAAGCAAAACTCATTTTGTTTCCTTAAAAATTAGAAGTTACGCTTTTTCCATCACTGTTAGATGTCCACTGCTTGCTAGTGAAGAATTGTTATTTATGTATAAATTCTAGTATTCTAGTATTCTAGAATTTATACATAAATTCAGTTTTTTAATCCAGTTTTTTAATATAGCAAGTGGCTTCTATCACTTCCTTCTAGAGAGTATTCCACAATCAAATAAACCTTGCTCTCAGAAATAGCTTCCGGATAGTCAGTCTAATTCTTTGCTGAGTCTCTGCTGCCAGCTTAATTGGATCCCATTACTTCTCATTATTATCCCCTAATACCAAGTTAAATAGTTAATTCTTCTCTTTGTTATTTACAACCTTCTGATATTTGTAAGGTTATGTCCCACCTTCCCTTAGATGGCTTAATCAAACTGCATATATGTAGCTTTTTATCTTTCCTCCTAAGTAAATCCCTCCACATTCCCTGAAATGGGTGCTCAATTGCACAGCCTTAATATTGCCTTAGCTTAGTTTATGTAAGGAATTTAAATTAAATATATGGCATGTCAGCATATGTGTTCACATATGGGTAGGTGTAACCCTGAGCACCTCTGTATTCACACCCTACACACTGATCATTTATATTCTTGTGTTATGAACATAAACTGTGTGTACAAAATGCGTACTAAGAGTTATGAACATAAACTGAAATTATGACTACAGTGTGTTTACCAGACAAGTCAAGGAAAGGAGTAAACTGGTTTCTCAAATATAAAGGACAAGCTGACACCTCTAGCCAAGTGTCATCAAAGTTGATTGGCAATCACCTGTCAAGTAGCTATCCTTTGGCAAATGAAGGGAAGCAGAAAGAGATCAATCTGCCTTTTAGCAAACAACAGCATGGAACTTCTTTCACCATGAGACTCCATGTCTGCTTCCTCACAGCTGGAATGAACTTTATCTATGGGTAATCCTCAGAAATTTGCATTTCAAAGGGTGACTGGACTAGAAAAGTGAGGGGCAAAAACACCCCAGACTCTCTCTTTCACCTAAGACTTTGCGGTGAGATCCTGACCTGAGAAGTTGCTCAACCATGTTGCTTGGAACCTGTGATAAGGATTTTACCTTAAACCAAGTCTAGCTTGTTATGTTTTAGCTACTAGAAAGCGTTTTATCTTTATTTCTCTTGTAACCATTTCTGAATTTAATACCATATATTTGTACTCACTTAAAACCTCTCTTTGTAGTTAAATTAACTTGTTTTATTTTTAATCTAAACTAATCCAGTGTTGTGTTTAAACTGAACTGTTTGGTAACTCCAGGTAAAGCAGTAAACTTTAATATTGACCGTTACAGGGGCAACAGACCTTTAATATCTGAACTGTCCAGGAGAGGTTTGGACAGTGCAGACCACAGGTGTCTGGGAAAATTCAGGTCTGGGAGTGTATTGGGGATGCAAGTAGTAACCAAGGCTTGTGGAAGCCAGAGTGTGACTGACAGGCTACTTGGATCAGAGCTGCTGGACCAGGGCCAGCACATCCCTAGGCCCGCGCCGCTTCCCGCCGCTCCCATTGGCCTGGGACGGCGAACAGCGGCCAGTGGGAGCCGCGATCGGCCGAACCTGCAGACGCAGCAGGTAAACAAACTGGCCTGGCCCGCCAGGGTGCTTACCCTGGCAAGCTGTGTGCCAGAGGTTGCTGATCCCTGCTATACACAAACACTCAGGGTGCGACTTGCATGCTGGCAGACTGTTTGTGAGCAGCCCAGGGGCAGCTACAACAGCTAGCATTGTGAGGCACCCAAGGTTGTGGGGCAGGTGGTGACAACCCCTCACGGGTCTGGATTGCACCCCGGAATGTGACAGTAGGTCTCCATACATGTATGCAGATAATATAAATGAAGGTGGGAAAAATACTTGAGCAAGTACAGTAGAACCTCAGAGTTACGAACACCTTGGGAATGGAGGTTGTATGTAACTCTGAACAAAACGTTATGGTTGTTCTTTCGAAAGTTTACAACTGAACATTGACTTAATATAGCTTTGAAACTTTACTATGCAGAAGAAAAATGCTGCTTTTAACCATCTTAATTTAAATGAAATGAGCACAGAAACAGTTTCTTTACCTTGTCAAATCTTTTTTTAAACTTCCCCTTTATTTATTAGTAGTTTACATTTAACACAGTACTGTACAGTATTTGTTTTTTTTTTCTTTCCTTTTTTTTGGTCTCTGCTGCCTTATTGCGTACTTCCGGTTCCAAATGAGGTGTGTGGTTGACTGGTCAGTTCGTAACTCTGAGGTGCTACTGTATGTGAAAGCTCTGTGTAGCATGAATGTATGCCTGTTCCTTTCATTGGCTTAGAGTATGTCTACCCTGCAGTTGGGAGTGTGCTTCCCAGCATGGGCAGATTGATCCATGCTAGCTCCGCTCGCTCTACTGCCTTAAAATAGCAGCATGACCATGGCGGCATGGCTCAGGCTAGCCCCTTGAGTACAAACTCAGTTGGCCAGCCCGAGCCACTAGCTGGACCACTTTGGCACTCTGCTATTTTTAGCATGCTAGCACGAGCAGAGCTAACACAAGTCTGCCTGGGAAGCATACTCCCAGCTGCAGTGCAGACATCACTCTTCAGAAAAGACGTAAGGTAACTCGAGTTATCTGCGCTCAAGTTAAGGCTTCTCAAGTTAGCCTAGGTCAAGCGAGACCAGTGACACTGCAAAGAGTGATTGTGTCAGCAGCTGACAAGTTAGGCTACAGCTTGAGTTAGCACATCTGCCATGACTGGCCAGACAACTCACATTAAAAGCACCCCTGCACTCAAGTTAAGCGTTTTTGTGTACATTCAAGTTGTAACATGAGTTCTCTACAGTGAAAATAAACCCATTCAAGGAAGTATTTAGTAACACACATCACAATTTTAGATCAGCCAAAAACTAATGTTTCCTTTAATGCTGTAGATTCATAGCTAATACAGTTAGCAGGCCCACCTATGAACCACTGGTTATTGCAGACATTGCACCTAATGTGCCATTGTGTTTAGCACAGATACTAGTAGGACTTATGTTTGAAGTAGTCTTAATACTAACACTCAGGAGTTTGTTCACATCTTAAATATCAGTAGATTAACATTTTACAGAGATGAGTCTGCACCACTCAGAGTTCAGAAGAAACTTAAACACTTAAAATAAAGTTACTATGAGATTTACCTTTACAAGGAGTTACTGCTGGAGATGGTAAAGTTGGAGTTGGAATTGACATTGTTGGAGAGTTAAGTTTTTCATCACTGAAGCTAAAACTGTTTCTGTAGAGTGAATCTGCACCTGTAAGACAAATTCTAAGCATTAGAAATTAAGACCAATGCCCATGGCAAGTTTATAACAGTAACAAAACAAAACAATGTAAACATCATAGGTGGTGTTTGGGGGGGTATGGCTGGGGCATTGCCCCTCCCCCCCAAAATTGCAAGCCTCAGGCTGGCAGCCAGAGTGTGCAATGCAATGAGTTCAGCAGAGGAGAAAGGAGATGTGCTGCTCCCAGCTTGCACCCCTGAGGCAGGGAGTCAGAATTTTGTTTATAAAGAGACTGATTAACAGGCGATTATGATAAGAAAGGGCTGTTAGGGTGTTTCCTAAAGTTAAATGATCTGTTCCAAGTTTGGTGAACTGCAAAAAGTAAGCCTAAATGATAGAAAGTAATAGGCAGCAGTTCTGCAGAAAAGGACCTAGGGGTTACAGTGGATGAGAAGCTGGGTATGAGTCAACAGTGTGCCCTTGTTGCCAAGAAGGCTAACGGCATTTTGGGCTGTATAAGTAGGAGCATTGCCAGCAGATCGAGGGACGTGATCATTCCCCTCTACTTGGCATTGGTGAGGCCTCATCTGGAGTACTGTGTCCAGTTTTGGGCCCCACATTACAAGAAGGATGTGGAAAAACTGGAAAGAGTTCAGCGAAGGGCAACGAAAATTATTAGGGGGCTGGAGCACATGACTTATGAGGAGAGGCTGAGGGAACTGGGATTGTTTAGTCTGCAGAAGAGAAGAATAAGGGGCGGATTTGATAACTGCTTTCAACTACCTGAAAGGGGGTTCCAAAGAGGATGGATCTAGACTGTTCTCAATGGTACCAGGTGACAGAACAAGGAGTAATGGTCTCAAGTTGCAGTAGGGGAGGTTTAGGTTGGATATTAGGAAAAACTTTTCACTAGGAAGGTGGTGAAGCACTGGAATGGGTTACCTAGGGAGGTGTTGGAATCTCCTTTGTTAGAGGTTTTTAAGGTCAGGCTTGACAAAGCCCTGGCTGGGATGATTTAGTTGGGGATTGGTCCTACTTTGTGCAGGGGGTTAGACTAGATGACCTCCTGAGGTCCCTTCCAACCCTGATATTCTATGATTCTACAGTTGTTTCAATTGTTGTATTCAGAAAGTAGTAACAAAGTTACTAAAATCTTTCTTTGAGAAGATAACTGATTTTTTAAACAAAAGAAATGCAGTAGATCTAATCTACCTGGATGTCAGTAAGGCACTTGATACACATGAGAAATTATTAGTTAAACTGGAGAAGATGGGGATTAATATGAGCACTGAAAGGTGAACAGGAACTGGTTGAAGAGGAGACTACAATAGGTCATACTGAAAGATGAACTGTCAGGCTAGAGGGAGGTTACTAGTGAAGTTCGTCAGGGATCAATCTTATTTAACATTTTTATTATTGACCTTGGCACAAAAAGTGGGAGTGTGCTAATAAAATTTCTGGATGACACAAAGTTGTGAGGTATTGCCAATACAGAGGAGGATTGAAATATAAAAGAAGATCTGGATGACATTATAAACTGGAGTAATAGAAATGGGATGATATTTAGTAGTACAAAGTGATAGGTCATGTACTTAGGGATTAACAACAAGAATTTTTGCTATAAGCTGAGGACTTATCGGTTGGAAGTGACAGAGGAGGAGAAAGACCTGGGTGTGCTGGTTGATCACAGGATGAATATGAACCATCAATGTGATGCAGCCTTGAAAAAGGCTAATGCGGTCCAGGTGTGCTTCAGGTGAGGTATTTCCAGTAGAAACAGGGAAGTGTTACTACCATTATACAGAGCACTGGTGAGACCTCATCTGGAATACAGTATGCAATTCTGGTCTCCCATGTTTACGAAAGTTGAATTCAAACTGGAACAGATGCAGAGAGAGGCTACTAGGATGATCTGAGGAATGGAAAACCTACCTTATGAGCGGAGACTCAAAGAGCTTGACTTGTTTAGCCTAACCAAAAGAAGGCTGAGGGGAGATATGATTGCTCCCTATAAATACATCAGAGGGATAAATAGGAGGGAGGGAGAGGAGTTATTTAAATTAAGCACCAATGTGGACCCCAGAACAAACGGATATGAACTGGCCATCAACAAGTTTAGGCTTGAAATTAGGGAAAGGTTTCTAACCATCAGAGGAGTGAAGTTCTGGAGCAGCCTCCCAAGGGGAGCAGTGGGGGCAAAAAACCTATCTAGCTTCAAGACTGAGCTTGATAAGTTTCTGGAGGGGATGGTATGACAGAACTGCCTACAATGGCGTGTGGCCCATCCGTGGCTGCCTGTAACAAAAATCCCCAACAGCTGGAGAAGGGACACGAGATATGGAGGGCTCTGAGTTACTACAGAGAATTCTTTACCAGGTATCTGCGTGGTGGGTTTTGCCCACATGCTCAGGGTCTGACTGATCACCATATCTGTGGACAGGAAGGAATTTTTCCCCAGGTCAGATTGGCAGAGACCTTGTGGGTTTTTCTCCTTCCTCTGCAGCATGGGGCATGGGTCACTTGCACATTTAAACTAACATAAATGGTGAATTCTCTGTAACTTGAAGTCTTTAAACCAGGTCCTTGCAGCCTGCGCCGCTTCCCGCAGCTCCCGTTGGCCGGGAACGGCAAACCGCGGCCACTGGAAGCTGCGGGGGGCCGTGCCTGTGGACAGTCAACGTAAACAAAATGTCTCGCAGCCTGCCAGCGGATTACCCTGATGGGCCGTGTGCCGAAGGTTGCCGACCCCTGCTTTAAATCATGATTTGAGGACTTCAGTAACTCAGCCAGAGGCTACAGTTCTATTACAGGAGTGAGTGGATGAGGTTCCGTGGCCTGCAATGTGCAGAAGGTTAGACTAGATGACCATGATGGTCCCTTCTGACTTTAGTAAGAGTCAGCGGCGGCTCCAGGCACCAGCACACCAAGCGTGTGCCTGGGGCGGCAAGCCACGGGGGGCACCCTGCCGGTCCCTGTGAGGGCGGTAGTCAGGCAGCTTTCGGCAGCATGCCTGCGGGGGGTACGCCGAATCCGCGGGACAGGGGACCTCCCGCAGGCAAGTCCCCGAAGGCAGCCTGCCTGCCGTGCTTGGGGTGGCAAAAAAGCTAGAGCCGCCCCTGGTAAGAGTATCTGAGTAAGAATATACATTAAAAGTTTTAAATCTAACCTGTGTCCCTTAAGTGACTTGCCACAAAATGTCAGAACCGGCATCTCTCCCTGCTGGCCCCAGCACGGACCTGCTCTGGACTTGCCACAGCTGGGAGAGAGGAGCCCTCAGCCCAGCCCAGCACCGCCGGAGCTGCCTGGGAGTGGGGCCCCTTCCTCAGCCCAGCCCAGCACCGCCGGAGCTGCCGCAGCTGGGGAGAGAGCTGGGGGGAGTCCTCTCTCCCCACCACAGCCCCGGGGCAGCCTGCACCCCAAACCCCTCATCCCCAGCCACACCCCAGAGCCCACGCCCCACTGCACCCTAACCCTCTGCCCCAGCCCTAAGCTCCCTCCTGCACCCCAAACCCCTCATCCCAGGCCCCACTCCAGAGCCTTCACCCCTAGCTGGATCCCTCACCCCCTGCCCCAACCCTGTGCCCCCTCCTGCACCTCAAACCCCTCATCCCTAGCCCAACCCCAGAGCCCGCACCCCAGCCAGAGCCCTCATCCCGGAGCCCTCTGCCCCAGCCCTGAGCCCCCTCCCACACTCCGAAACCCTTGGCTCCACCCCCACCACATGAATTTGTTATGTGCACCAATATGAAGGTGCACCTCCATATTGATGCACATAACAAAATTCATTCCGCACATGAACGTAAAAAATTAGAGGGAACACTGGTCAGAACACATTAGTATTAGAGCTGAGTGGGTCTAATATTTATTTAATTTTCTTTCTTGATATAGGAATTAGATACAGTGCTCCTGTCAGATAATTTCTAAGTTATTATCTGCCAAAATACAAGAGTTTTCAGTTGCCTAAGTAGCCCCTGGAATTACAGTTAAAATTGACGCTGCTCTCCCCCCCCCCCAAAAAAAATCTGAAATGGCACCCCTGTGGGCAGGCACGGAATTTGCCACACACACACAGGCGTCCCCGTTGGCCTGACTGGAGCTGCCCCTCCTTAAATATAGATGTCAAACTACACGTATGGTAAATGTCTGCGCCCTCAGACAAATAATTTCTGGAAGAAGCATCAGACACAGTTCAGAATAAGCGCGAGAGAGAAATGTCACAGTGTGCCAAATTTATCCCTTGTTTAATTCCATCAAATTCAGTAGTTACCCAACCTAATTTGAAGTCCTCATGTGCCTTGCCTGATTCACAATGGCCAGAAAAAAATGTTAGACTGAACTGTTTTAAAAATACCATTAAAAAACGTGTAGCAAACTTGTGGAGCAAACAACGCCCCACAAAAGCAGGGTCAGGGTGTAACACTGCAATTGCAATGTCAATGCTGAATAAATACAATGTGTGGTAATCTAAGGCAGTATGCAAAATTACGTTGAGAGAAGAGATGCACATCAGCCACTATTATTAGCAACAGCCGCTTCTGACACTTCACACAATCTGACCACCACAGGGGAGTGAAACGTCATTTGTTCCTACCTCTGACAAATTTCTTCTCCCTCTTTCTGCCTAATCTACTCTACCTTTATTCAAAATTCATCTATAAACATCTCATTTCCTTTGCCTATAACTCTTGATATTGCGCCTTCTGCTTTTTTAGATCTTGTGTCTTTGGATAATTTTTTTAATAGAGTTCTTTTATACAGGGCTCTGAGATGCCAACCCCATGATACCTCCTCCAGAGATGATATTCTGCACTCTTATTTTAGGACTTGTGGAGAAAGGCTGAATGTGTTATGGAAAAGCAATAGGTCTAATCCCCTTATAAATGTTATTTGGTTTGGGATGTGGGGCAAAGCTTTTAGTTTTTTTTCAACATCAACACTTCTCTAAGGCTAGGGGACCTGTACTTCTTTTCATAATAATGGCCCCATGACACCCAGTTCTTGAAAAGTATTAGTCACAGTTCCAGTGAATG